TAAACACACTGCTCAAGCAGCCAAACTCCGCATTATTCCTTGACGCAATATATTTTTTAAATTAACAAGTCATTTTGTTGCGGGCTCTTACATATAACAATCCATACATCCATTATATCAAGCAGACATGCACAAATGTTGGCATCAACAATTTCAAAACACTATATTCTTGAGCCCTTTAATATCAATTCCACTTTATTCTCTCTCTCCCTCACCCTGTCACCCCTAAAACCCTTAATAAATTATGTATTATTATTATTTATACGTATCTTACATCACCTGTTCTATCCCTTCACCCACTCTCCTGGTATTCATCCCCCTCGAGGGGTTTATTCCACAGTCAATGCTATCTGGTTCCCCTTTCCCACCCTCTTCCCTTCCCCTACCCTCCTGAAGTCGTTGTTACTCTAAGAGGCTTGTCTATCCTGATTTCTGTATATTGAAAGCTCTCTGTACCGGTACAGGATTTTCAAGGTAGGACTGAGATCATAATAGGGGGTGGGGCGGCGGGCAGGGCCAGGGAGGAAGTATTAAAGAACTAGAGGAGTGTTTCATTGGTGCAAAACTGCCCCCTGGAAGTATCTTATCTTCCACACAACCCCTCTGCACGGGAATGTCCAATTATCCTCAGATGGACTCCGGGTCTCTACTTTTACCCCTCCCCTTCCCCCCAATGAGATTGTTTATTTTCGAACTTCTGATCCCTGTTTCCGTCAACACCTCATGATCACATTGGTTGATGTGCTGCTTCCATGTGGGCTTGGTTGATTCCCTGCTAGATGGCCGCTTGTTTGGCTTCCTTGACACTCTTTAGCTGGCTTGTGAGAGGGACTCAAAGGCCCAAACTCAAACTCACAACACAAAACAAAAACCCTGCCATCGAGTAGATGCCAACTCACAGTGATCCTGTACGACAGACTGGAAATGTTCCTTTGGGTTTCTGAGACCGTAAATCCCTGTATGGGAGCAGTCAGCCTCACCTTCTGCCAGGGCTGGAGTGGTTGGTGGTTTCTAACTGATGACCTTGTGGGTGGCAACCCAATGCCAAACCCATACCACCACCAGGGCTCCTAAAGGACTCAAAAACAAACAATCACTGCCATCAAGCCTACTCCAACTCACATCAACCCTACAGGACAGGGTAGAACGGCCCCTGTGGGTTTCCGAGACTATAACTCTTCATGGGAGTAGAAAGCCTCATCTTCCCCCCCAGGAGCAGGTGGTGGTTTCGAACAGCTGATTTTGAGATTAATAGCCCAACAAATAACCACTGTGCCACCAGGGCTCCTAATGGATTCAAAGAAGACGGAAATTTAACTAGCCAAGCAAGTTTGCATTAGAACCTTTGTACAACTCCTGGAGTTAATGCCCCTGAGCAGGGTGACTTGGTGAGTCCTATTTTCCCCAGGTATTTTAAGCTCGGGCAGCCATTGAAACCATGCCTTAAAACGTACCGAGCCTTAGAGAGAGACTTCAATTTGTCGTGTCTCCATGTTTCAAGCTAAGATTCTGAAAATATTCAACTAGGGTTGCTCTGAATCAGAATCGCCTTGATGGCAGTGAGCTTAATTTTTGGTTTATTCAAGTACTTTGCTCTAAAAAAAAAATTGAGAATCGAAAGTTTGTTATTCATAAACAAAATTTTAAATATATCTATTTTAAAACTTGGCTGCTGTGTTAGTCTGGGTGGACTAGAGAAACAAATTCTAGACACGCATATGTGTTTAAGAAAGAGCTTTATATACAAGAGCAATTGTATATTGCAGAAATATCCTAGCCCAGTCCAGATCAAGTTCTTAAGTCCAGATAAACAGTCCAGAGAAAACAATGGTACCGAAGAGTCCAGGGGTGGGAGGTGGGGGACATGGGAGAGGGGAGGTGGGGAAAGGAAGTGGGTGTTAACAAACCTAGGGACAAGGGAACAACATCTAAAATTGATGGCGAGGATGGTGTAGGATGCCTGGCAAGGCTGGATCAAGGGCAACATAACCGAGAGGGCTTACTGAAACCCAAATGAAGGCCTAACATGATAGC